CTTTTTGCCTTTCCTCAGGTCCTTGTTCATTTCACAGAGACTGTTGTTTAGCTTACTGGAGGGTGCCTCCTGTTAGGTGAGGAAAATGATATCCTGACCTTAGAAAATGGAGCCCAAGCCCAAGTGGAGGGCTCCTGTTCATTCTTTTCAGGTCTCTTGTTATCTCCATTTCAGGCATCACCACAGAGGCGTTGTTACCTATGAGGGCCGAGGAACCGTTCTCTGTGATGTCACATGAACATTATAGGCTGTAAATATCTTGGAAATTACCTAGTGCAACAAATTCTATTCTGTGTCTGTAGTGTGTTGGCTCTGTCGTTCGCAGTGAAGAGCATAAATAAGATTTTGTCCTTGATCCTGGCCTTGATAGTTCCACAAGGGTGGTAAATATCTTTTGGAGTGATGTGTAATTCTACCAACAGATATATTCATAGCTATAGATAAAGGAGTGGGAATTAGATGTGTGGAGAAGTAAGTGGAAAAGACATTCTAGGAAGGGGGAATAGAGTGGACAGGTGGATATTGTTAACCAGACATACGCCATGATAATTGCACATAAAAGAATGAGCTAACTGGGTGGGTAAACTTGTGTAACATCCAAAATTTGTGAATATGTAAATAACATGAAAGATGTAGACAAATAAATACTAAAAGAGAAAGGATTGCTTTTGATATCCTCCTGCATACAGATGGGATAGAATTCAATATGTTCATACTTTGGCCTACCTTTCCATGAAAATGTGTAATTATGTGTAAATGGACTCAAAAGCACTTCACTTAAAATTGTGAAATATTAAAACGACACTGAGTTTACTGGCTAATTTAAGAAACTGTCATTTTTAAAAGCTCTAAAATTGAGAGACATTTCAAAATATTTAGGATTGAGCTGCTATACTGCCTATAATTTATTTTTAAATTGGAGCAGAAAATAGATGAAATGAATATTGTAACATAAATAATTACTAATTCTAGGCTGTGGTCATACAGTATTCTGCTTTATTTCTTAAACATTTTCATAATAAAATGACATAAAAATTTCCTGATACTTATGAAAGAAAGAAAAGGAAATGTAAACAGAAATGCCTAGTTAAAAAACTATGGACATTTTTGAAAACAAAAAGTAGAATACTATTCATTTTGGATCCACTTCTGAGCATAGTCATATTTTGCTATGTGTAATTGAGGAGATTAAAAAATAGAAGCTAGATTCTCCAAATTCTAGATTATTCTCTGTAGATATCATGGTTCAGCAAGCTTCAGGAATAATTAGTTTTTCCTGGCATACACAAAAAATTTAAGTGCTGTCATTAATAGTATTATTGTATAAAAAGAAAGCAGTGAGTCATTAGGCAATTAATTAGTTTCTTGCCAGATAATGAAAGAATTTACTCACATGATAATCCAGGAGACGATGCTAATTAATATCTTGGTATTTTCTGTATGAGGTCAAAGCTTCACCAGTCTTTTCAACCTTCTGTAATTATTCACTGTCCCATTTGTCAAAGAACCACCAGACAAATAATTATGAAATACACAGACATTGTGTTGGAGGAGTGTTACGTTCTGAATTTTTGGGGTTGTATCTGTGTGTTTATATGTGTAGTGTAGTATTTTGCAGGGAACAAGAAAAGTGTCTATTTCAGAACATGAGAAAGAAATCTTTTCCATAGCAGTTTAAAAACTGGTTACAGGTATTACCTCTATTTTAAGACCCTTCCGCATCAGAAGTAGATTTACTCATGAAGATTAAAACAGTAGACATTGAGTATTTGTCTACTGGAGAGTTGTGTTAGATTTCCACTACTATAACAAGTCCCTACCTCAAAGGAAATTAACTTATAGAGAAGAGGTTCAATTTGGCTTACAGTGTTGTAGATCTTAGTCCCTGAAGGATTGACCCTACTGCTTAGGACCCATGAAGGCACATCCTGGCAGGAGCATGTGGCACAGCAAAAACAACAACAGCAAAAATGTTTAGCTCATAGATGGGATATGGAAGACAGAAAGGAAGAAAGAGGAAAGAGCCAGGGTCCCATGGTCAGCTTTAAACACCCATTTCCAGTTAGCAGAAGACCTCCACTGGACTCTACCACTGACAATTCTTGCCATTTCCCAAAAGTGTCAAGCCGAGACCTAAGCCGTTGTCGTATGGACCTTAGAGGGTCGTTTATGATGCACAGTGTAGCAACAGTTCAAATGCATAAAGATGTATGATTTGTGAAAGACAAATACATCGGAGGACATTATATGGGATTATCCCAAGATGTAGGAGAGTATCTTGTGCAAAGAAGATTAGACGGGCAAACTTCTGACCTACGTGAGATGGACTCATTACACCGCATAAGCAAATCAGACAGAGGTGGAAAGAGCAGCAGGTGGACCTCTCCACCTGAAGCAGGAGCCAGAGATGAGCTCCTGGGTTCCCTGTAATATGTGAAGCCAGGCTTTCGTTATGTGACAAAGCACAGCTGTTTCCAAGGAAGAGAGAACAAGGTGGGCGAGGGAAGACTTTCTTTTTCTCATTCCTTCAGCAACCCATAAAGCGAGCCAAGAACTTGTTTGTATGTGATAGGTGGATGCTGAGAAGTTAATTTCAGGTTTATGGTGAAATATTTTTGGTAGAGTTCAGTGTTTGTGTGAGATTCTATTATGATGACTTCAAACAGGAGCAAATAACTTGTCACAGTGAACGTTAGCTAGGGCAAAAATCCTCAACTCTAGTCAGCATAATTGGTACCCAAACCTTAGAGAGTGTTACAATGGAGAGTCCCTGTGGTACCAGAATAATGAATCTTCAGAGTCTTCCACCCCCAACATGTGACATGATACCTTTGTGTTCTGCTTTACACTGCAACAAGTTATGAAAGTGGAGATGGGGAGATTACAGTGGAGCGTCTGGGTGGCCCCGTGTGAACAGACTTATCAGTAAAACTAGAAGAGGAAGACAAAAGCATCTGCCAGATGTGTGGCAGAGGAACATTTAAAATGTGAGAAGCATTCAGTTTGCTTTGCTGGCTTTGAAGACAGAGCAAGGGGACCATGAGCAAAAACTGCAAACAGCTTTTTAAAACTGGAAATGGCCCTCTGCTTTCAGTCCACAAGAGCTTCTCTGGGCTGCACTTGTACGGAACAGAAGTCTGCAGACAAGCGAGGAAATGGGTTCTTCTCCAGAGTTTTCAGAAGGAAATAAGTGCTGCCCAGCGCTGGATTTTGGTCTTGGGAGTTAATAAGCAAAAGTTTAGCTGAGAGTGCTAGACTTCTGACCTACAGAAATGGAGAAAAATAAATTTGTGTTATGTTAAATTGACAAATCTGTGATAATCTCATAGTAATAGAAAATCAGTACAGCATGCGTTTAAAGATACCTGTCCTTGGAAACTTGAGATGGAACAAGGCTGTCAGCTGGGATCTGAATTTTCTTGGAAGTTTAATCTGTAATTAATGGAAAGAGGTCTGAAGGGCACAGACCGTCAGCCGTGAATATTTGTTAAGCCACCCTACATGCCAAGGGCAGTTCCAGGAACACAGCTGACACACTAGACAAGAATAGACGAAAAGCTCTGCCCCTGGGTTCTTAAACCTTGTAACTTAAAACAATGTACAGTATTGCAAGGTGATGAGAGTTTAGGAGAAATAAATAGTAGGAAAAAGTGGTAGGGAGTGTTTTGAGGTGCAGTGTTCAGTAGAGTACTCAGAAGCTGACATTTGAGTAAGAATAAGGGGCAGGTAAAGGAGGAAGTGTGGAGGCGAGGGAGACCGAGCCTGAGATCTAGGAAGCACGGATGGCATTGCAGCTGTGACAGCCAGCAGGAAGCTCAGGCCAGTGAGTAATGGGCAGGTCCTCCTCACCTTCACACTGCCAGACTTGGGCTTTTTTTTCAGAGATTGTTGGAAGCTGATGGTGGACTGGGGACTGTTAACATTAAGAAGAAACGAGACTGCAGTATTGCTAACCAGTTTGAACTGGGGGAAGCAGAGTGTCCAGGTACACAACAAATTACATGCAGGGAGTTTATTAATTATAGATAGGCTGCAGAAACAATGGAAGCTAAGCTTCACTGTGAGCTGATCCCCTGGACCCAAGAAAGCTGCTAGGGTCGATGGAGCCCATTGCACATGCCCCATCTATTCTTCAGGAGACTGACAGAAGGCTGTCCACCCTGTTCTGTGAACCCCTGGGAGCCCATGACCTGTAGGGCTACGGTGCTACAGCTCTCTCGTTGATAGGAGGGACTGGCACAGAGCAGTCTCAGGTTGTTGTGCGTAATTCCAGTAGGTCTTACAGTTAACCTTGAGGACTACAAGCAAGTGGAGCTGGGAGAGTTGGGTGGCCCCTGTGTCACCTACAGAACTGTCCTGCAGAGAGAGAGCGTGATTCTGCTTGGACACATGATGGATGGGCTGCAGCAGGGGCAGTGGGGTGGGGTTAAGAATTGTGGGTCCTGGGTTCACCTGGAGAAGAATAAAGACTTGTGAGATTTCTGTTTGAGATGAATGTTAGACTCCAAGATGTTACTGAAAGTAGTGGTTAAAAAAAAATTCAGGACCTGGAATCTGTTTTGTGCATCATGTTTTTTTCTTGTGTGTGCCAGGGATCAAACTCACAACTTTGCATTTGCCAAGCAGGCAGTTATGCCACTGAGCTGAAGACATAGCTACTCCTGTGACAGTGGGAGGACTGGGCTATAGCTGTCCACAGCGGCTTCCCAAGCCGTGTGGCTTATATATTCCCTGCTGTCACTGACCCCTGAGATAATTGGAATTTTCTAATTTTGCTAATCAAAGGCTCCTGCGGTTGGCCTTTGAAGAGGCAAAGCAAGTGAATTTTGGGACATTTGCAGCCCATTCTCGCCATTTTAGTTTCACAAACTACCAGTTTGTGTTAACTTTGCTACAGGCCGTGACTTGAAATGTTGAAAACATTTTGTTCTGTTTTTCTCAATTGTTCGCTATTGTCTGCTCATTTTTCTTTATTTGCTTTTTAATATTTTTCTCATCAGAGGGCAGTTGTTTTCCAGAATGGGATGGACTTATCTGTTGGCCCAGAGGAACACTGGGGAAAATTTTAGCTGTCCCGTGCCCTCCTTACATCTATGACTTCAATCATAAAGGTATTGGATTTTCTGATGATTAATTTGAACAGAAATTTGTCTCTTTTTGGGTAATAGACGCAAAAGGGACCGAGCAGTCTCATCATCTTCATGTCTTTACAGGAGTTGCTTTCCGACACTGCACTGACAATGGAACGTGGGGTGTTATTCACAGCTCCAATAAAACATGGGCTAATTATTCGGACTGTTTTTTGCAGCCAGATATCAGCACAGGAAAGGTAATAGCATTTGTTTGTATTTTTGAATTACTAAGGAAAGCAGAACAATGGTTTTATGCATTTCTGGGTTTTTTTTTTTTTTTTTTTGCATTTTTCTGCATTCCTTGATTGTCAGCCATAATATGTTAAAACCTCCTGTGACACAAAGATCATAAAAGTTAAAAACAAGGTCGGAGTACTTTCAGATGCATTTGAACCATTCTGATGTTTTCCTTAGGGTTACCTGGTCAAAATACACACACGTATACTTCTAAATGTATGTGCATATACATGTGTGTGTATGTGTACCTTGTTATAGTGTGTTACGTTTACATTCTATTCTGTTTACATTATATATATACATCAGCAACATGATTTTTGACTCACTCTTATTTACCAGTGGATGGTTACATCTCATCGGACTCTATATGCCTGAAAAACATTTTCATTTTAGAAATTTTTTTTTTATTTCATTACATCTGCCAGGAGGTGACTGTATTAGTATGTGAAATATTACATTTGTGGAACTGGGGAGGAAAAAAGGGCATCACAATAGCTCTGTTTCGCAAAGATGAGTCAACAGAGATTAGATTGTTAGTCAGAGGACAGGGCTTGCTGATGGCAAGGTCTACAGCAGAGCCTTGCAGTCTTGAGTTCTCTTTGGTACTCTTTGAAGTGCAACAATCCTATATAAACCTTGCGAACTTCTAGAGAGTTACTTTTAAGTTACAGTTAGTAGTTTAAAAGTTATGCTTAGATTCCTATTGTTTTGACCTTATGGGGAAAGACGCTTGGAGATATAGGCTTCTGATACTAGGGATGAATATGTTGCTGTGTAAATCATTTTTACGTGGATGCTGGAAACAGCCTATCATGCATAAGCTCTCTTGACATCAGATATGTTTTTATGCCTATTGCTTTTTGGAGTGAGTAGGAGAGAGAAGAATAAGAAGACAAGCGAGTTGAAGGTCTTTGTTCAATTTCACAGGGTTAGAACTGTCCTCTTCTCTAACACAAACTGCTACTGTGCCACCTCAGTGAGGGCTTTAGTAATTTTCTGAAAAATTTTCCATTTAAAAATTTTTAATTTTTATTAGCATTTCCATCCTATGTAGAGCTGGTACCAGTGCAGAGCACATCTTTGTTCCTTCTTCCATCCTCTCCCCTCCCTCCACCCTTAATCCCCTTCCCATTTAAGAAAGATCTATCTTCCTGCTTCCTATTGCATGTCTTTTATTTTGTTCTTTATAATTGGGATTGAAAGCTCGTGGATAAAGTTGTCATTGTGAACGGTGTTTTATGCTCTATGAAGCAACTAGTACCAACACTGGAAAAGGGCAGAATACTGCAAAAATATCAGTCTTCTTTACAAAATAAACACTCCCTGTTATTTAATATCAGTTGTAAATTAAATGATGTCAAATGCAAGTTTTTCACAGCTTTTAAATGGCCATTATATTAAATCAAATTGTAGTTTTATTTGTGCAGAATTTTAAACTTACAACCATTGTTTGTGTCTATTGTGTATTCCAAGGGTTAATAGAATTAAGGGTGATTAATAAATCCAAGGTATACATTGTTTCACTTAAAAATGAATTAGAAGTTAACTAAATTGAAGAATTTTGCTAGCATAAACTAATTTTACCTTCTTAATTAGAATACAAAGATGATTTTCTATGGTTTGTAATCCTTAAGGGATAATTTGAGAAGATTCAAAAGTGTAAATATCCCCTAGTAAGAGAATTAGAAGGCTTGATACACTGCAGGGCAAAGTAAAATTGCTTATTTATGAGATATAAATTATTAATGGTTAAATGAAATTTTTTGTAAGACAGGAAAAATGAAAAGTTAAGCAAGTGTGTATTCAGGATAAATGCTACATAATTAGAAAAAAAGGATAAACACCATATCTAGTGGAACTAAGACTAAGATTTTAAAGAACCTATGATTCTTTTCTCTTAATAATTTCAATATCATTGAACTGGACCAATGAGGTGATTATTTCTAATAAAAAGCAGAGAAAAGCTAATAATAGAACACAAGGTGAATGATGCTTTTAGACTATGATAATAAAATAGTAGCATGCCATATAAATTATCATATAACATACTTCATATCTTATAGCTCTGTACATTTTGGAATGCAGTTTAGCAATATGCATTTAAAATTATATTTAAAAAATTTCAAAATGGTCATTCATATTTCTTGATTTTGTAATTTTACTTCTAAGATTGAGCATAAGGATTTGGAGTGGGGAAAATGAATGGAAAAATCTTTACTGAACAATTAATTATGATGATGAATATTTTGAAAAGTTTAAAGTTACAGTGGAGACCTGGTTAACTAAGCTTGAATATATATATATTCAAGGCATATATAAAGAATTTTTGCAGCTTTAGAAAATTCTGTTATCAGTTAACTGAAAAAAATTCAGGTAATAAACTTGCATAAAAGTTGAGAATGATTTTTAAAACAATAGATAATGATACATAGGAACAATGGGAAGAATACATGTCATACTAACAGCCTTCCTTTAGGTTGGTAAGAATTTGGGAGACTTTTCTTCCCCCATTGTATAATTTACATGTTGTTTAAATATTTTATATGCATTACGAAGTATTTTATTGACAGAGCATTACCAAAACAATAAATAATATTTAAAAAAGGAATAAGAGGCCTTTGTTTTCAGTTGGAGACAGTTACAAAAGCACGTTAGAGAATATGCAAAATCAATAAGTTATAGAAATCCATCAATAAGCTGCGGATGTCAAGGTATGTGAACTCAATTCCAGATGTGGGTCAACCTTTCCTTCAAGAGAAGAGACCCATGGCTCTGTTTATCTTTGGATTTGTGGCAGAGTGGGACCAACCAGACCATAGAAGGGATGGAAAGGAAAGAGGAAAGGCATGAGGGCTTGGAATTGCAAGGAAAGCCTCGGTGACAGGCCACACTGTTCTAAGGGCTGGGGGCAGTGCAGGAGAGTGAGGGAAATACTCAGATGCACGTGAAGCTTTTACAGAGTGAAAGGCAGCAGTTAGCTGAAGCCATGGGACAGGAAAAAAAGCACAGATCTCTGAATGCAAGGTAGCAGCCTGACAAAAAATCTGAGCAGGCTCTCTCCTAGGGACGGAGGGTCATCAGAAAGTGACCCGGTAAAGACTGCACAAGCAACAAAGTGGAGCCAGATCTCCTGAGACGCAGAAAGACTACAAGGAAGTTCACTCTTGCTAATGTTGTTCCCCTGTTCATCTTCCTCCTCCTCCTCCTTCTCTTTCTCCTCTTCTCCATTTCCCTTCTCCTCCTCTTTTTCTTCCTCCTCCTCCTTCTTCTCCTTCTCCTTTTCCAACTCCTCACATTCTTCCTCCTTTTTCTCCTGTTTTTCCTCTTCCTCCTTTCTCATCTGCTTTACTTTTCTTTTTTCTTCTTATGACTGCATATTGGTGATATGGAATAGTGGTGCTTATTTTGGGTAACTGAGTCATGCACATAACATGTCTTAGTCATTTACATTTTATTCATCTCCTCTTCCTTTCTTCCTTCCTAATCACCTTCTGTACCTCAAGAGTCTACCTTATAGTTTTCTGTCAACTCTTCTTTGTTTTATTCATTTTAACTTATATTTTAGGTTTTTCATATAAGAGAAAATAATGATGTTTAACTTATTTAACTGGATTATTTATTTAGTATGATAGTCTCAAGTCTCATCCATTTTCCTGCAGATGGCATAATTTCAGTCTTCTTTATGGCTAAATAATATTTCATTGTGTATATGTAGCATATTTTTAATCCATTCATTTGCTGATAGGCATCTAGGTTGTGTACAGTGCTTTGCTACTGTGAATTGTGCCACTATAAATATGAATATGCAGGTATAACTTATAGTATGATGTCTTTAATTCTTTTCAGAATATATATAGATGAAAGAACTAACAAGGATATGAGTTGAAAAGGAGGAAGTCAGACTATCCCTATTTACAAATGATTTGATTCTTTATGTAAAAGACCCAAAAGACTTTATCAGAACACTTTTAAATCTGATAAACAAATTCAGTAATGTGGTAGGGTACAAAATCAAAAATACAAAGTCAATATTGCTCTGGTAAATTTGGCAAAGTGGCAGTATACAAAGTCATAATGCAAAATAAATATTACTTATGTATACCATTAATGACCCAGAAAGCAGAAAATCAGGAAAGAAATTCCATTTAGAATAGCTTAAAAATATTAAATACCTAGGAATCAACCTAACCAAGGAGGTGTAAAATCTCTGTAGAGAAAATTCAGAACTCTCAAGAAAATCGAAGAGGACATTACAAAAACCAAAGACATCCCTTGTTCTTGTAAGGGAAAAATTCATGCTATGAAAGTGGTAATATTATAAAAAGAGACTTGTAGATTTAATGCAATCTCTATTGGAATATCAGAAACATCTTTCATAGAAGTAGAAAAGACAATGGTTAAATTCATATGGAATCAGTTATAACCATCAGTGTGAATGGTCTCAGTTCACCAATCAAAGGAACAAATTGCACAATGAATCAAAAACCAAGATCCAGTGACATGCTGCATACAAGAAGCACATTTAACTCAAAATGAAATTCATAGAGTAAGGTCAAAGAATGAAAAGTAATACTCTATGCAGCAGAAATGTGAACAAAAAGCAAGGTTAACTAATTAACAGACCAAGTGGACTTCAAGCCCAGACAGATGAAGAGAGACAAACTGCATTCTTGTGAAAGGGACAATCCAAGAGGAAGAGATGATAATCATAAATATACATGCATCAAGTACTGGCACGCTCAACTATATGAAACAAACATTAATGGGTATGAAAAATCAAATGAACTCAGTACCCATTGTCACAAATACACAGATCAACTAGAGAAAAAAATCAACAAGAGAATATCAGGGCTGAACCAAACCTTTGAGCAAATGGACTTAGAAGATATTTACAGAATGTTCCATCCAACAACAATAGAATACATAGTCTTCTCAGATGCACAAGGGATATTCTTTAAAA